TCATTTTTTTTATTTACGAGGGGGCAGATTCTGAAAGACTTCAAGTCAAAATTACATTACAAGCACACACATTTATTAAAAAGAATATAAAAGCAAACTCCAAAATCTTTAGTTCAAATGTGACCAGAGAGGGAAAGACCAATGTGAGAGATTAGAGCAGTATTTCTCAATCTTGGCAACTTTTTAAGATATGTGGACTTCAACTCCTGGAATTCCTCCAGCCAGCCATGAGAAAGAATGGATTAGAGGCTGGCAACAGTCATAACAGAGATAAATGACTGACTAGATGTGTGTTATTTGCATTCCACTACTTATAAGACTGTCTTCATTTCTAATAAATGAGCCCACTGTGTGAGAAACATGTAACTGATCTTCCCTACCTAGTATATCAACATCTTCTACTTTTACCAACGGTCAGATACTGATGAGTTCTTCAACAAAGCTGGGCTTTCTTAATAACAACAGTTGTACAAACATAAGGTTCTCTTTGTTAAAGAGAAACAGACATCAAAAAGCAGTAAAACATGGAGCCTTAAACCCCTTTTTGTTTGGGGGAAAAAAGTGTTTGAACCGAGGTGTTTCTAGTTATGGGTGAACGCAATGAGAATTCAGCTGCAACAAATAGGCAGCCCATTCCCTAGGAAGGACTAATTAGATCCATCTGAGAAACTATGTCTACGCTGCTTTACACATTTCAAGAAAGAAAGCTCTGCTCTAGTCTTTTGAAAAGGCTACATCAAAACAGTTAGTCACAGCTGATGCACATCTAGTCAGTACAGTAGTGTTATTTTCTTTTCATGCTATAAAGCCTTAAGAGCCACATTAAAGCCATGGTAATAAGCCTGTCTTGCCCTGAGAAAGGCAATGAAATTTAGAGCAAAGAAAGCAAGCTTTGGCAGCATCATTCTGAGAAATCTCCCCACTGGGCATGAATTTCAGAGGTCCCATAACAAAATAGCTTGCACATCAGACATGTTCCATCAATGAAACACTTAAAACTAATATTCAGGATACAGAGAGTTAACTATTTCTTTGGCAGATTTATATCTGGTACTTCAACTTTATCATGAAAATGGTAATAGATATAATTGAGTATGGGCAAACCAGCAGCAGGAGTTCACGGTTATAAGCTATGACTTCAAAGCAGATGGTCACAGTCTACCTACTGTGCAATTATGTGTGTCTCATTTATTTCAGTGATGCCAAACATTAGGAATGGCATAGCCACTGTGGGCTTACAGCAGAGTTCAGATGTTTACTAACACTGGGACCTGAAACCAAAGATCTAGCAATAAAAAAGTGACTACCAAATAACTTCTTGAAAGATTCAAAATACATTAGGAATAACCATCAGAAGCTATTTGCTTCTACTGCTAAAGCTTTTCCTAAAAAATGGGTCTATGGCCATAAGCCAGGAATGGCATGGAGTAGAACTCATTCTGGTTCCTCTAATGAGAAAAATAAACATTACTACCCCAAAAGACGTAAAACAGAAAGAGTAACAAAAGAACTTTAAAATTACATTTTGCAACAGATTATTTTCATTGTATGAGCTGAACTCTGGTTAATTAGGGAGTCTACTCTTCTGATGATCCTGCAGCTCTCCTATTGTTTCTTTTTATTTTTCTTATATGTATCCATTTCATGTATTCATAACTATGTTTATAATACCTATTATCTTGTAAGTGATTGACAAATCAAATAAATAAAATAAATAAAAACGAGCTAGAGCCGGGGTGTCAAACTCACGTCGTCACATCAGGATCACGTGACGTATCAAGACTTTTTTCCCCTTTGCTAAACCGGGCGTGGGCAGTATGTGACGCATCCAGCCTATGGGCCAAGAGTTTGACAGCCCTGAGCTAGAGCCATGTCCCTTGGCCATATGAACTAGAAAGGAAGGAACCAAACACTTGTTAGTTCTAGGATGTTCTAACTGAAGCTCCACAGTAGAATCGAGAAATGTACAGAAGTTTAAAAAAGCATTTCCTTTTAAGAGCTGAATGCTATATTCCATCACTTCCATTGAATTCTAGTATTTTTAAAACATATTTTAGAAGTAATACCAAAATATTTAAAATTATGCCAATATATGTCCATAAGAACAATTGGTAAAAAAAATAAACAGGAAAAAAAATCTCTTGGGGCAACAATTAAAAAAAAGAGATAATTTATATTATAGAAAATAGAGAGCATGATAAATGAAATAAAGAAAAACAATTCCACTTAACTGCCTTTTCAGATACTTGAGGAGAGTGTGTGCATATGTGTATATATGTAGATAATGGTCTGTCCATTAGGTGGAAGCAAATAACAGGTTGGACTCAACTGATTTCGCTGTGTTATCTTTTGATCTCCACCTGATATCAATCTTGCCCAACTAAAACTATAATCTTCTAACCTACCATATATATCCTGATAGATTCAGGCAGAGATGGTATTCAGCAGGTTCTGACCAGTTCTGGAGAACTGGTAGTGGAAATTTTGAGTAGTTCAGATAAGCGGCAAATACTACCTCTGAATGAAGATTTTACAGTATCCTTCCCCTGCCATGCCCACCAAGCCATGCCCACAGAACCAGTAGTAAAAAAATTTGAATCCCACCACTATTCAGGATAATGATGCTGAATATATAACTTCAGTGTGTTGGTAAGATTGGCTGTATATACAGAAGTACTTTCAATATTTATTTCCTTATACTCATTTACTCTCTCTAATGTGAACATGAGGCCCTATACATGGTTGGATTCAGATCCATATTTTAAAAACAGCAGTGAAGAAAGATGAGGGGGAAAATATAATTATGGTTAGAAGGTATATTTAATCAACAAGGTCATTAAAGCAATGCAAGTGGACATAAGATTTCAAAATAAAATGGTAAGTGTGAATAATTAGAAACAAAATGTGCTTCAAAAGAAAATATTTCAACGTAGTATATACATATTTATATGGAAGAAATATGCTAAATATTGCTGGAGAAAATACAAGTTTGCCAATCAAAATGCATTATCTGAATCAAAATGCATTATCAAAATGCATTATCAAAATCAAAATGCATTATCTGAACCAAAACATCACAATAACACTAAAACTAACAACTTTATTTTTTTTATTTTTTTCATGCTGATGATTTCATAAAAGCAGTGAATTATTTCCTGATGTGGGAAAATGGCACATGAAACTTTTCCCTAGAAAATCTGCAAATATAACTGTTCCTTATTTTGGTTTCCAGCCACAAAGCAAGATAAAGCCAGTTGGAAGTAAACTCACGGAAGAAATGATTCCTCTGCATTCCATATCAGAACATACCAGGTGTGATTGAAAGTACAGTAAAAAGATAAAAGCACAAAGCAAAAACTACTCTGAATTCTAAGGTAAAAATATTTGACATTAAAACAGTTGGAAGTATGATAGATACAGCTAAAAATTTCAATTTATTCCCAATATATTTAGTATCAGGAGGGACCAAAATTAGCATGTTTCCTGTTTCCCAATTGAGAGATATATACACTAGAGAGGAAAATAAACTAAACAAATATTGAGAGAGCAGGACTGAGTTGGGGGAGGAGGCACTTATCTATATTTATTCTTTTGTTCCTCACTAAACAGTCTCCACAGTGGAGCAGAATATAAGATAGTATAATTCTAAGAACTAAATATTTTATATATTGTTTATTATATATACTTTTAGCTGTTGTACTCAACAACATGTAAAATCAAGTATATAATAACAATAGGCAACACTATGTTTATCTATGTTATTAACTTTTACTATTAGTTTTGCTCCAAATTTAAAGTATATTTGTCTTGTATATAATCTCAAGACAGAAGTATGTTGACATCATTTCAAAGCCAAATTATTCTCTACAAATTAGCTTCTTGAAAGATCAGGGTAGCTCGTAGATATCACAATGAATGGAATAATTGCAAAGGACCTGACTTTGAGGAAGGGCATATATTATACAGGTAGTCCTTGACTTAAGACAGAAATCAGGATTGGAATTACTGTTGCTACCTGGTTACCCCTTCCACCTCCCCACAATGAAGTGGGGATGAGAGCAGGAAGTGGCAAGTCCCAGATCCTCGCAAGCAAGTAGGTCCTACCAGATGGGGAAGGGCAGAAGGATACATGCAAGGGAGATCTGGCAAGGATTGTGGAGGGTCCACAAGATTATGAGTTACTACATGTGAACCCATGTACATTCTGAAACAAATTTTTCTATTTGAAGCTGAAGTCCTGTACTGTTAAGAGAGCATATGTCCTAGTTGGGAGGAGGGCTCCGATGGGAAATTAGCATGGACTTGTTGAGTAAACACAAGAGGGCAAGGGTCTGACCCTCTCACCACCCTTGAATGCTTTTGAGCCTTAGCTAGTCTTTCCCAGGCAAATCTGCTGGTCTGGGAAGTAGGTATAGAACAATAAAGTAGCTAGTTTGAACTCTTGGCAGGTAGTCCTCGACTTACGACAATAATTGAGCCCAAAATTCCTGTTGCTAAGCAGCACATTTGTTAAGTGACTTTTGCCCCCATTTTTGCCCCCAGCTTTCTTGCTACAGTTAATACAAGTACCGCAGTTGTTTGTAACAATGTTGTTTAGTGAATCTGGCTTCCTCATTGACTTTGCTCGTCAGAAGGTCGCAAAAGGTGATTATATGAATCTGGGACACTGCAACCATCATAAATATGAGTCAGTTGTCAAGCATTTGAATTTTGATCATGTGCTCATGGGGATGCTGGAACAGTTGTAAGCGTGAAAAATGGTAAGTCGCTTTTTTTTCAGTGCCGTTGTAACATTTGGGTCTAGTTGTTCAAGACTGACATGTACATTTATTCTGACATAAGTTCTTGATGATTACTAAGTAGTTGATTTTGTAAATGCAGATCAAGAGAAACTCTCTGGAAACTATTTAGGTACTTTATTCAGGCTAAGTCTTGGAACCTTAATCAAACATACCACACAGTTACAAAATGTTATTTATTACAATAGTGAGAATACATACCAAGTAAGTGGATCCTTGACGAGAAGCTACAATTGAATGAGTTGAATCTCCAAGCTGGACATATAATTTCCAGTTTTTTGCATCAGGTGGAGCAAGGGAAATCCTAAAACAAAATAGGGCAATATATCACAAATAGCTTCAGTTTAGTTAATTAAGCTGGCTAAGAGAGTGCTTTTAATTGTATAGAAAAAAGTGATGAATCTGCTTCTTCAAACTCCACTCAACTCATGCTAGTTGGGGGTGGGGGTGGAGGTCAAGTATGTTACAGTCTTTGGTCTTGGGGGTTTGTGAGGGAGGCTTACACTCAGTCTTGAAACAAGACCCTAAACACTTTAGTCTGACATGACATAATGGTAGCTTCAAGGCAGATGTATCTACATTCTAATTTTCCCCTGAGAGTTAAGGCTGTTCTGTAAATAAGCAATGTCAGAAATATTGTACTCTTACTTTATTTTAGAACATAAACAAGCTGAACTATTTTCTAATAACTATTTTCTAATAAGAACAGCAACAAAACAGCAGTATGGGATCCCAGTGAGAAACATACATGTTTCCAATAGTCCTTACTGTAAATTCATTGAGTCTTTGAAAACAGATCAAATTACAAATTTTAAAAGAAATGAGCAATATTTGAATATATTCCTAGAAAGAAACACTTCAAAGAACAAGAAGCATATAAATGAGTTTAGACCAGTATACCAATCAGTAATATACAAGATTTATAAAATGAAATTTTCAGGGGATTACTACTTCCAGTGCAAACTTTATATCTTTCAATAACTGCCTTTACGATCATACTAAGGCGTTTGTCCTTTCATACTGTCCTTAAACTGCGTTCAGCTGTGATGTTCTAGACATTGACAATGTTTAGGCTATGCCAGCTGCTTACCATGCTAATCATAATTTCACATTGTTACCCTATGCTCTCTTCCATCCTTTTCATTTGGCTACCTGTTCATTATCATAATTGGCCCACTTTTCTCTTTGAGTTCCTCTCCTGTGATTGTATGCCCTTGTTATAACTCAACATATGTTTAGTGATTTCATTACACCAAAAGCCTATCTCTTTTCAGTTCTCTACAAATACTACAAATAATACTATACCATGCTATTTTTCTTAATTACATCTATAGAAAAGGAAGCCTAGTGAACTTAATCCCATTTAGGAAGATGTGTTATATCATCAAGAAACTTCCTAACAACCAGAAACTTAGACAACAAACAAGTATTAATAATGGAACTGAATTATTGACGTACATTACAGTATGTAAATTAAAACTATAGTTTATATATACAACAATCAATCTTAAACTGTAACAGTACATTCATAGATTTAAAAGATTCAGTATCCTAGATAAATCAAATTTTATTGAATTTAAAATATCAGGTTAATCGTTCAATACAGTAGATTCATGAGGTACAATTCCTTATATCTTCAGTTTAAAACACACAGGTAGTCCTCAACTTACAGCAAGTCATTTAGTGGCCGTTCAAAGTTGAAAAAACGTAACTTACAACTGTTTTTCACACACCTGTTGCAGTATCCACAAGTCACACGATCAAAATTCAAAAGCTTGGCAACTGGTTTATATTTATGACGGTTGCAGTGTACTGGGATCATATGATCAGCTTTTCTGACCTTCTGACAAGCAAAGTCAATTGGGAATCCAGATTCACTTAACAACCATGTTACTAACTTAACAAATGCAATGATTCACTTAACAAGAAAAGTCATAAAATGGGGCAAACTCACTTAATGTTTCACTTGGGAACATAAATTTTGGGCTCAATTGTAGTCGTAACACAAGTACTACCTGTAGGAGGTAGTCCTCAACTTACTATAATGGAGCTTGTTATTATGGTCACAAATCATGACAGCTATAAAGTGGGTTATCCATGTGAGCAGCCCAATTTGTAGTAACCGTTTAAGCAAACTTGGTGCCTCAAGCCAATGGTTCGTTATGGGCCAGTTTTGCTGAAAACTGGAAGGAAATTCCATTATTTTTTTTGGCAAAATTGTCATAAAGCAGAGCCATATGACTGCAGGATGCTGCAAATGGCCATAAATGCAGGCCATTTACCAAGTGTCCAACATGCAATCAGTGTGGAAGGGTGGGGGTTGGAAGTTCAGAACAGTTAAATCTGTTTAACTGTCAGTTCAAACCTGAGAGCCCTGAGCTAGAAAGCTCTATGTATTGCTTGAGGAAACAGAATAGAACAGAACAGAACAGAACAGCTTTATTGGCCAAGTGTGATTGGACACACAAGGAATTTGTCTTGGTGCAAATGCTCTCAGTGTACATAAAAGATACATTCGTCAAGAGTCAAGAATCATCAGGTACAACACTTAATGATAGTCATAGGGTACAATAAGCAATCAAATCATACTAGGAAACAGTCAATATAAATCGTAAGGATACAAGCAACAGTTACAGTCATACAGTCACAAGTGGGAGGAGATGGGTGATAAGGAGTGATGAGAAGGTTTCCTCAATAAAATAAAGTCACAGAGGATTTTTTTAAAAAGCAGCAATAGTAATGATAGTATGTTACTAGGAGAAATCAAAAATATTTTCTGCAAGCAAAAATACCCCTTTTAGATCCGCTTGGTTTTATTGCAAATATTAAGGCAATTGTTACTGCTACATTGGATTAAGTGGAAGCAAAGACTGTTCTTTTTATTTAAATGGTATTTCAGAAATACAGTTGGACCAATGTTTGTGTAACTTCGTTTCCTGAAGGTCCTCGACTTACAACAATTTGTTTAGTGACCGTTCAAAGTTACAATGGCACTGAAAAAAGTAACTTATGACTGTTTTTCATAGTTACAACCTTTCCAACATCCCTATGATCATGTGATCAAAGTTCAGGTGCTTGGCAACTGATTCGTATTTATGACCGTTGCTGTGTCCCAAGGTCATGGGATCAGAGGTGGCATTCAGCAGGTTCTGACCTGTTCTGGAGAACCGGTAGCGGAAATTTTGAGTAGTCCAGAGAACCGGCAAATACCACCTCTGTCTGGAGATTTTACAATATCCTTCCCCTGCCACATCCACCAAGCCACGCTCACAGAACTGGTAGTAAAAAAATTTGAATCCCACCACTGCATGGAATCCCCTGAAAAGCGAAGTCAATAGGGAAACCAGATTCACTTAACAACCGGGTTACTAACTTATCAACTGCAGTGATTCACTTAACAACAGAAATTCTGGGCTCAATTGTGGTCACAGATCGAGGACAACCTGTAGTATCTTCCTTATTACTGACATTAAAATACTGATTGGCAGCCTTGTTTTTTTTTTCAGGCTTTGCGTCTGCAAAGATATACAATTTTTTTCTTCACTTGCCATCACCCTATTGACTGTAAACTATTCCACTACTCGATATTAATTTAGTAGGTTCTACTCAATGTGTCGATTACTATAAGACAACATCACAAAGCGTGACCATAAAATGACTATATTAATATGACACATAAAAACTGGGCTGTGCTTTCTGAATCTGTCAGTCTCAGATCAGCCCCTTGATCTCAGAGGGAAAAGGCCTTCTTGAAGAGTGAGTTTGCAATTTTTACTCTTTCTACTCGGAATCACAAGGCTTGATTGTAAGGCTAGATGCTGCTGCAAATAGATGCATCAAGAAATTTCCATACCATATTAAATTCTGGCATTACACACCTATGCTTAGGCTCTATTCCCAAGGCTCTATTCCCAAATCCATATAGCTATGGAACAGTGAGTCTCCATCTTGTATTTGATTGAACCGGTAATCATAAAGTTCAGCTTCTTCTTCATGAAAGTGTGAGCAGTAAAGCCATTATCAACCATCTGGAACTATGGACAAAATAAAGGAAAAGGCCGCATGTTCACAGCCAGTTCATTAGTATAGCTTTTATATGGACATATTGGAGAAGGCTTCTATATTAGTTTCAACAAATCAAGCTACTCCATGTTTGCGTGTAAAACTTTTCTATTGACTAATTTGTTGGCTTCGGTCTGGAACAGCTCTTCATTTGCTGTTCTTTTTAGGCATAATGTAGGTCACACAGCAGATCAAGAAGGTCAAATATTCTCGGTGGATGCCACTGGTTTACTTTCTCTGAAACTAGCCAATGTTTCTCTTCCTGAAGCTGTCTGGATGATAGGACAAAGTGATGCTCAGAGGTTTTTATTGAAACTACAACTCTGGGACGTGTTTTATAATATTCATTTGTTGGTTGTTATTTAGTTTGAGAGGTTTATAATTTAACAATTACCTGAGGGTTGTGTTTCGGCCTCCTTCCCACTATTTCATATTTTAAACATTAGGAAAAGTAGATCTTGAAGATTGGGCAATTGTTGTTCTGGTTTTAGCTAGGATTTTCTCTCAGAGGTGCAAATTGCCATGAGTTCTTGGTTTCTACTCTTATGGCAATAGGATGGAAAGGGCTATGTTCCCCTACTCCTGAGCTTCCCATTTGATAAAAATAAAGAGTTTTTCTTCTGCAAAAGAATTAGAGCTAGCATCAATAGAAGACAGCTAAACAGTAAGAAAGACACATCTTCATTTTATCAAATACCTGCATATCAAGATAAAAGGGGAACAAGAAAAAATTCCAAAAGAATAAAGCTCCTGGCAGGAGAAATAAACATTTAAACAGTCAGCAATGTGCAGTTTATTTAAACAACCAACAAATTATAAAAGACCTGAATTAAAAAAACAACAACCCAGTTGTGTCGCTTTTGTCCAGATTGAAAAATGACAAGTTCTTGTACTGGAAGTTGGACCCACTTTAGTTGCAAGAGTCTGCTGAGTAATAGATGAATGGGTGCAAGAGAAAATGCAAGCAATGAATGTTCTATTTCAATAGGCTTAGTATCTGAGAATTTGTTTTGTATCAACTGTATATCACTGTCTTTGTGTGGCAGGAGCATATAGTTATCAGAAAAAAGAGTTTCTTGAATGACCGCCTTGGACACACTTCATGTGTTCAAAGAGAGAGCTGTCCAAACGGTAGTTGATTTTACGTTCCCTCTTTCAGACAGCACGTGACAACATGCAAGTGAAGAAAAGACTGAAGAGGTCTGAAGCTGGCACACAACCCTGCTTCACCTCAGTGGAAGC